TGCCACCGCCACCCGGCTCTGTATGGCTCTTATAGGATAGATGCATAATACTTTATTTGCCAGTTCCCTGCTTAGGAACATGTAGGTATTTTCCTCTCTTCTAAACAATGCAGTCTCTGGGCCTGGTAAAGGTCTGTAATCCTAACTATTAGAGAGACTAAGCTGGAACATTACAGATGAAGCAATTTAGGGAAACTGTCTCAAAATAGAAAGTAAAAGAAAAATAAATAAATAAAAGGCCTGTTAGTAAACCCAGTGTGCTGGCGCATGCCTTTAATCCCAGGGAGGCAAAGGCAGGCAGATCTCTCTGAGTTTGAGGCGAGCCTGGTCTACAGATCAAGTCTCAGGACAGCCAGAGCTATTTGTTACACAAAGGAACTCTGTCTCGAGAAAACAAACAAAAAGCAGGACAGCGCTTGTCTAACAAACCACTAAGACCCTTATTTCAGTCCCTAGAACTACAAGCAAACACAGTAAATCCCTTTTATTTTTTTATTTTTTATTTTTAAAAAGATTTATTTATTATGAGTACAACATTCTGCCTGCATGCCAGAAGAGGGCACACACCTTAAATCCCAGCATTTAGGAGGCAGAGACAGGCGGATCTCTGAGTTGAAGGCCAGTCTGGTCTACAAAATGAGTTCTAAGACAGCCATGGCTACACAGAAAAACCCTATCTTGAAAAAATAAAACAAAAAAAAATGGCTGAGTATGGTGGCACATGCCTTTAATCCATCACTCAGAAGGCAGAGGCAGGGTGTGTCTCTATGAATTGGAAGTCAGCCTGATCTACACAGTAAACTCCAGGCTAGCCAGAACTACATAGTGAGATCCTGTCTCAAAAAAGCCAAAGAACAAATTAAATAATTTTTAAAAGAAGAACCCTATTGAGCTATAATGGTTTGCATTAAACTGCCCATTTTCACTTTCCCTCCTCCCTTATTTTGAAACAGAGCCTAACTTTGCCTGTTTGTACATATGTTTACCACATGCATCCCTGGTGCTCTCAGAAGTCAGCAGAGGGCTTTGGATCCCTTGGGACTGGAGTTACAGGTGGTTGTGAGTCACCACATGGGTGTTGGGAATCAAACTTAGATCCACTGGAAAAGCTTCAAGTATTCTTAGCCACTAAGCCAACTCTCTAGCTCTATTTGGTGTGTGTGTGTGTGGTCAAATTTTTCTTTGGACCACCAGTTCACAAATAAGAACACAGAAACTTATTAATTATGAAAGCATGGCCTTAACTTAGGCTTGTCCTCCTAGTTCTTTTTTTTAAAAAAATATATTTATCTTTCTGGGTTTTTTTTCTTTTAAAAGATTTATTAATTGTGTATACAGTATTCTGCCTGCAAGCATGTCTTCAGGCCAGAAGAGGGCACCAGATCTCATTACAGATGGTTGTGAGCCACCAAGTGGTTGCTGGGAATTGAACTCACAACCACTGAGCCATCTCTCTAGCCGCCACTAGCTCTTATAATTTAAATTAATCTGCTTTTATTTATCCACATGTAGCTTTTTACTTTCATTCTGTATGTCTCCCTCCATGTCTCATTGGTGACACTTCTGTAGTCCCTCTTCCTTTCTCTCCCCAGAAATCCTGCCTATACCTCTTACCTACCTATTGGCCATTCAGGTTTTATCATACCAATTACAGCAATACATTTTCACACAGTGTACAAATATCCCACAACACGTGCGTGTTGGAACATAGAGGTGAGTTGCTATTGGGGTCAAAATGGGATGTTGGGAATCCTCCTTAATCACTGTGTCTTATTGCCTTGAGACAGGGTCTTCTTTTTTTCCTTTTTCTTTTTCTTTTAAGATTTATTTATTTATTTATTTATTTATTATGTATACAACATTCTGCCTCCATGTTTGTCCGTATGCTGGAAGAGGACGCCAGATCTCATTACAGATGGTTGTGAGCCACCATGTGGTTGCTGGAGATTGAACTCAGGACCTCTGGAAGAGCAGTCAGTGCTCTTAACTGAGCCATCTCTCCAGCCCCTGAGACAGGGTCTCTTGATGAACTGGACACTTATCCTTTCCTCTCAGATGACTGGCCCACAAACGCTCACAATTCACCTCCCACCCCCAGTGCTGGACCTGTAGGCATGTACAGCCATGCCCAGGTTCATGTAAGCACTGGGATTGAACTCAGACTCACAGGTTTGCAGAGCAAGCAGTCTTGCCCACTGAGCCAGCTTCCCAACCTTTTATTTTCTACTGGATTTACTTTATTTTTTCCCTCAGGTCCTTGAGTCTTAATCTCCTTATTAGTGAAAATAATGTGTCAGCTATGCTAGTCACCTATGTTCCCTTTTGTAAAAGATGCATTTATATTTACATATTTTATTCATATGGGCGTCTCTTTTGCCTACATGTATGTCTCTACACTATGTACATGCATGCATTGCCCCTGAAGGCCAGAAGAGGGCATCTAATACTCTAGGATGGAGTTACAACCCGATGAATAAATCATGCTTTTATGTACATGGTACTGATGATTGAACTCAGTGTCTTTTGTTTTGTTTTGTTCTTTGATGATTTTTGAGATGGAGTTGCTCTCTGTCACCCTGGCTATCCCGGAACTCTCTTTGTAGACCGACCTGGCCTCCAACTCATAGATATCTGCTTGCCTCTACTGCCTGAGTGCTGGGACTAAGGGCACGCACCATGTCCAGCAAACTCAGGATCCTGTACGTGCTAGGCAAGCACTCTACCTCTAAGTTACAAGAAGCATTTCTATAAGAGAGATAGGATCTTGCTATGTATCCCAGGCCGGTCTTGAATTTACAATGCCGCAATGCCTGACTAACCCAATCACTTCTACCCACTCTTAACAGAGCACTGTTTGTGGGTGACATATGCAATAGAAGTCTGTAAAATCAGGAAATTAAGTTAACAGGAAATCAGTACTGCCCCATGACTTAGGCGGTCTGCTTCCTTCTGTGGTTTTCCCCTCTGCCTCGCCAGTTCTGCCCATACCACTTCCTCTCCTTCCTTCCCACTTTCCAGCCAGAGTCCAGTGGTTTTAGCTGACTGCAGTCTTCTTCCCACTGCCTCACTTAAGCGTTGATCTTTCTGACCGATTCCTGTCCTAATAGAACTATATCTGCTCTGTCAGCAGCTATGGCGCTACATAAAGGTGTGTGCGTATTTACATGTGTGGATGTGCCTGCGTGTGTGTATTCGTGTAGAAGGAGGGAAAATGGACAACCTAGTTATAGAGTCCTGCATTTCTGAATAAGCTTGACTCAGTTGGGCTAAGACGCACTTTAAAGGGGGAGAGGGTAGGAGAGAGGAGGTGACAGTTCTACCCCAGGCTACTCTGTAGCAGTGTACTCAATAATAATAAATAATAACAAATAATAATGACTATCATTCAATTCCTACTAGTGAGTGCTCTTGATTGTTTCATTTGATCCCAAAATATTTTTTTTCAAATTTCTCTTTATCACTTTATCATTTATTTTGGGTTTTGGAGACAGGCTTTCAATATGTAGCCCAGGCTGGTCTTGAACTTGCACTGTTCCTTCTGCTTCTGCTTCATATAATATTTTTCTAAGTTTATTTATTTTATATGTATAGACGTTTAGACTGAATGTTTGTCTGTGTTCCACATGTGTGTAGTGCCTTCAGAAGAGAGCATTAGAGCCTCTGGAACTAGAGTTACAAATGATTGTCAGCTGTCATGTGGGTGCTGGGAAACAAAGCTGGGCCCTCTGTAAGAGCAGCCAGTGATTTTAGCCACTGACCCATCTCTCCAGCTTCTTTTTAAATAACCCGCTGAGCTCAATTTGTGCTCCATGCACTCAGATGCTTTAAAATGTGTGGAACTGCACCCTTAAAGAAAACTGACTTCCCTTCCCCAAAAGTCATCAACTGTCAATGGTTCCTCAGTTAGAGGTGACTGCTTATGAGTCTCTTTTTCCTGCATGCCAGAATATCGATTGCCTTGATCGTATGCAGACAACCACAGGTGATGTGCATTCATGAGTTCGGTGGTCCCTTCTGGAAAATACTGCTCTATTCCAGTCCTCCCTGACTGCAGTTCTAAACCATCTTCCCACCTGTTGCTCCAGCTCCAGGGGATCTGACACCCTCTTCTGGTCTCCATGGGTACTGTATTCATCCACATGTAGGCACACATGTGGGTAGTCAGGTGGTGATTGCGCACACCTTTAATCCAGCATTTGAGAGGCAGAGGCAGGTAGATCTCTGTGAATTTGAGGCCAGTTGGGTCACAGAGCAACCTCCATGACAGCCAGGGCCACACAGAGAAACCCTGTTTCAAACAAACAAACAAACAAACAAACAAACAAACAAACGGGGCAGTGATGGCCCAGGCCTGTAATCCCAGCACTCGGGAGGTAGAGGTTGGTGGATCTCTGTGAATTAGAGGCCAGCCTGCTCCATAAAACAGATTTCAGGACAGCCATGGCTGTTATATGGAGAAACACTGTCTCAAAAAACAAAAAAAGACAACAACAACAAGGGTATCTGTCTGTGGTAGTGCTGCCAGACATGGTGGTGTCAGGAGTCCTCTCAGTTCTGGTCTTCTGGAAATAATTCAGCAGAGAGAACAGACAATGGAAGCAGAAGTTTACTTAGCAAATTCAAGCAAGCATTGCAAACAGAAATGGAAAGTGGGCTGTCCCAAACTAGGGATGGTAGCAGAATGGGTTCTGCATTAAAGAGTGAATATTTATGAGGTAGCTGGCATGTTTATGGGGTAGAATAAAATTTTCCTTCCAAAATCACGGTGGACAAGATCTCTCTTTCAGGGTAATTTACCTCATGATCCGCTAGGTAGCTAGCATTGGGGGCAAGGTCGTAAGGTAGTGAATCCAAGGGGTCTTTTGCAGCCCCTTTAGTGCACCTATGGGGATGCCCTGGTGCCTTAGTTTGTGATGGAGCTGGAACAACCTATCTGCAACCTCAAGGCTCGTTAACCACAAAGGAGCAACCGAGGTACAGCTGCAGTTTTCTTAGTGACTTCATATGGAGACAGTTCCATCAGTTTTAGCCAATCGGAGGAAAGGGCCATCTGACTCACCCATTCTGCTAATAGCCCCGCAGATAGCATAGGTTTTAAACTGACCATTAAGCCGACCTGTGACCCTGTCAACCTCAGCCACATTCATCTGGATGGACGCGTGGTCCTTGGCACCAGCGATGCAGTTGCTCGCGGAGCATTTCCACTGCACGTACAGGTCCACGAACTCACCGGAGTCGTTCTGCATGTCGAGGCCATGCCTGCTTACTAGGCCGCGGGAGCGCAGAAGCCTAACTTGATTTTAAGACCGCTCTAGGTTCCATGACTGATCTCATAGCTAGCTCTCTGGTAATACAATTTGTCATTCCAGAATGAAGACATTTTGTTGTTTTTCTAAGCTGCGGCTTTGTCATGAAGCCCAGGCAATGGTTTGACAATAGTTTTCCAGGCCCTGTAAACAGGAACACAGCTTGTGCAGTCTGTAAAACACCCTTTTCTCAGCGCTGTACTCATTTCTATCTTCCTGATGTTCTAGAACTTGGGAGATAGAGGAGAGATCAGAGTTTCCAGGCCGGCCTCAGCCACATGAGACCTTGTCTCAATAAAACAAACAACAGGAACCAGGCTTGGTGGCACAGGCCTTTAATCCCACGATTTGAGAGGCCGATCTCAGTGAGTTCAAGGTCATCTTGGTCTACGTGGTAAGGAAAAGAGAATCTGTGACAATTGCTGGACAGCCAGACTAGCCAATCAGTGAGCTACAAATCCAGCAAGAGACTCTCAAAAAACGATAAGGTGGAAATGCAGACTTCTGCTCCCCACACATGTATGTATCGGCAAAGAACCACACACCTACACACCAAACAAACAAGAAACTGCCTACCATTTCCACTCCAGCCAGCAGAGGCTGTGGGGGGGAGGGGGGAAGAGGTGAGGGAGAAAAAGCAGCCAGCCGTGGCGGAGTGCAGCCTTGCTTCTCTGTTGTGGGCTATTTCTTCACTGTGTGAAGAGATCATTAATGAATGAAACTTTTCTAGTCAGCCAGTCAGCCGCCTGACTTGTGACAGTCAGCATGTCTTGTAATCATCTCTTCTGGGTGGATTTGGGAATGAGACACTTCTTTTTTAACTTTTCAGATTTTTATTTATTATCGTTATGGAGGTGTATGTGTTTGGGAGATGCACTTTTTTTTTTCTAAACAAGGATCCTCCGTGGAGCTTTGAAGCCTGTCCTGGAACTCACTCTGTATACCAGGCTGGCCTAGAACTCTCAGAGATCCGCATGCCTTCGGGTGCTGGGACTAAAGGCTGTACCACCACCTCTCAGCGGGAGGTGCACTTTTGCTACAGGATGTACATGGAGGTCGGAGGACACCTTTGTGCTGTTGGTTCTCTCCTTCCACCTTTACGTAGGCTCCAGGAAATCAAGCTCAGGTCTTCAGGCTCACACAGAAAGCTCCGTTGTCCTCTCTGAGCCATCTTGTCAGCGTCTCAGGCACTTAGAAACAATTTCATACATGCATCCATGATCATGTTCACTCTCATTCCCTCCCAACATCCCCAACATGTCTTCCTCTGACCATGGCCTCTCCTTTGTTGTGTGTGGAACCCACTAGTCCTGCCTGGCAGAATGTTGAGTAATCTCCTTGGCTCGATCTTGCCCTCAGGCACATCTTGAACCACTGAGTGTGCTTAACGTCTGACGATTTCAACCTTGTACTCCTCCAGGGGCACGTGGGCTGACATAGAACAAAGAAACCACTAATGGTGTGTACTTACTAAGCTATTAATAAAAATGTACACACAGATTCCTTTAATAGCTTGTAGCACAAATGTATCTTTATAATGCAGAATATAAAAGTACCCTTCGATCAGGGGCATAATACCAGCACTCAGGAGTCCAAGGTCAGGCTGGGGCTACAAGGTTGAGACCTTGAGTTGTGAGAATTTTGTTTGTGTTCTGATGAAACTTGTCTGGAAATCAGAGGGCAGAGCTAGCCACTAGTTAATCGTAGAGGCCAGGTAGTGGTTGTTATGATAAAAATAAAATGCTGCAGGTCCCCGAGTGGTGGCAGTGGGCAGCGGGTCCCCGAGTGGTGGCAGTGGGCAGCGGGTCCTGAGACCACAGCTGGCCCAGTGGCAGGTGAGAGACGGAGACAGATAGGCACACCATGCAGAGTGGGGTTGGATATTTATTTAGTGGGTTATGGAAGGGAAGAGAAAGGAGAGAAGGGGAAAAGGGGGAAGAAGAGAGAGAGAGAAAGAGAGAGAGAGAGAGAGAGAGAGAGAGAGAGAGAGAGAAGAGGAGAAGCAGGGAGAAAGGAGCGAGGCAGAAGCTGCCTCTTCAAGAGAGAGGGAAAGGAAAAGACTTGCAGGTTGGAAGTAGAAGGAAGTCTGCTTACCTCAGCAGAGGTGGGGGAGTGGGCGGGGCTTGTGTCTTAAAGGGACAGGACAGACCATTTCATTCCCATCTCTTTCTTATAATAAAAAGGTGGGAGATTAGACACAAAAGATTAAAGGAATTGGGACTGGGACGACAGATTCTCAAGACTGCCTGCTGCTTATTTGTGGGCCTCACCTTGTGGGGGCACTTGAGAAAGCTGGATGCTGGTCATATCCTGGGGTAGCTGGTCTGTTTGTTCCTGTTCCGTGTTTGTGGTATGGAAATGTCTGGTGTCTCTTATACCCATTTAAGGTATCGGCAGAACAGAGGACAAAATTAAGTTTAGGAAAAAAGAATTTTAGGACCAGGGAATTGAGAGGGGTGTATCTGACCTGTTTAAAATGGATTCTTCAATTTGGCTTCCTGGAACTCACAAGCATTCTTTGTGTTTATGAAAACATAAGTTTTAAACAGCAGCATATTTATATCAGAATGACTGTGACAGATATTTCTTACACAATGAAAGTATTTTTAAGGACAGGACAGATCATTACCATGGGGCACACATGTTTAATCCCAGCATTTGCAAGGAGAAAGATCAGGAGTTCAAGGCCACCCTGGCATACAAGAGGTGGAACCAATCTAGAAGAGAAATAGTGCTAGCTGGTGGCTCATGTCTGCGATCTCAGCACTAGGGAGCTGGAGAAAGGAATATAAGGTGGGTAGAGACAGGATGTTCCCCATTCAGTCTGAAGATTTGTAAAGATGGGATCCCCCCCCACAATTCTGTCTGAGATTTCATAGAGGTAAGAAGTCTCTGGTGGCTGGCTGCTCCGCTTCTCTAATCTGTCAGATTTCAATCCCTAAAATCTGACTCCAGGTTTTTATTTAATAAGACTAATTAGATTTGTACATCAACCTTGTTAAAAAAAATAAAACTAGAAAAAGACCCCTGCTGCCAAGACAGACAACCTGAGTTCAATCCCCAGGAAATACATGGTAAAAGGAGAGAACTAACACATGACATACACATATACATACACAAAGTAAAAACTACAATGCAATTAAAAATTAAAAATAAAATATCTCACCCCTTTAACCTTGCACTCAGGAGGAAGAGAAGGTTGATATATATTAGCAGTGGTTCTCATTCTTCCTCACACTGCCACCCTCTAATATAGGCCCTCGTGTTGAGGTGACCCCCAACCATAAAATTATTTCATTGCTACTTCATAACTGTAATTTTGCTACTGCTGCCAGTCAGTGGTGGCACATGCCTTTAATCCCAGCACTCAGGAGGCAGAGGCAGGTGGATCTCTGTGAATCTGTGGATCTGCTAGTTCGAGGACAGACTCTAAAACTACAGAGAAACCCTGTCTAGAAAAATAAAACAAACAAACAAAACAAAACAAAACAAAACAAAAATTATGTTACTGGTATGAATCATAATGCAAATATCTGATATGTAACCTCTTTGGGGGTCACAACCAGAGGTTGAGAACCCCTGGGTTAGTTGGAGGTCAAGCTGGTCTACATAGAGAGTTCCAAGCCAGCTAAGGCTACACAGATGAGAGACTATCTCAAAAACAACAATCAAGGGGGCTGGAGAGATGGCTCAGCGGTTAAGAGCGTTGCCTGCTCTTCCAAAGGTCCTGAGTTCAATTCCCAGCAATCACATGGTGGCTCACAACCATCTGTAATGGGGTCTGGTTCCCTCTTCTGGCCTGCAGGCATACACGCAGACGGAATATTGTATACATAATAAATAAATATTTTTTAAAAAAAATAAAAATGAATGTAGCGGCCTGACAGTGGTGGCGCACGCCTTTAATCCCAGTACTCTGGAGGCAGAGGCAGGCGGATCTCTGTGAATTTTAGACCAGCCTGGTCTACAGAACAAGTTCCAGGTCAGGCTCCAAAGCTATACAGAGAAACCCTGTCTCAGAAACAAACAAACAAACAAAACAATGACTGTAGAGCCTGAGAGGTGGCTCAGTAGCTAAAAACACTTGCTCTTGCAAGGGAACTGGACCTAGTAACCACATGGCAGCTGTTGGAACCTGTCCTGGAACTAGCTCTTGTAGACCAGACTGGCCTCGAACTCACAGAGATCCGCCTGCTTCTACCTACCGAGCGCTGGGATTAAAAGCGTGCACCACCACTGCCTGGTTAATTTATTTTTGATTATGAGGCTGGAGAAATGACACATCAGTTGAGAGCACTTGTCACTCCTCAAGAAGACAGGAACTCTGTCCCCAGCATCTATGTCAGGAGGCACAAAACAACTTAGCTCCAAAAACTCCAACACCCTCTTTGCCTCTGGAGTTACCTTCACATATGTGGCACACACACACACAAACATGCATACATTAAAAAGTTTTAAATTAAACCTGGCGATGGTGGCACACGCTTTAATCCCAACACTTGGAAGGCAGAGGTAGGCAGATCTCTGTGAGTTCAAGGCCAGCCTGGTCTACAAGACTTAGTTACAGGATAGGCTCCAAAGCTACAGAGAAACCCTGTCTTGGGGGAAAAATAAGTCTTAAATTAAATTATTTGTTTTTAGGGTTCTTTTTAATGTAAAAGAATTTATCTCATTTATTTACTTGTGTGTGTCATTTATTTACTTGTGTGTGTCATTTATTTACTTGTGTGTGACAAGTGTGTCACAGTGTGCATGTGGAGGTCTGAAGTCAGTTTATGGGAGTCAGTTCCACAAGGTGCATCCTGGGGTTCAAACGAAGGTCCTCAGTCTTGGCTGTGAGAAAGAACAAGAGCGAGACTCAGAGGCAACTCCATTTCAGCTGCTTTCCCTCCTGTGGGCACTTGCTAGCTGGAATAGCATCTGAGTCAAAGCAATCTCAA